CCCTTAAATCTGCCACTGATTTCTGTCTTAGTCCATGCTATCGGACTGACTCTGCATCACGTAATAATCCCACATTTTTTCCGTAAATAGCTTTCTTTCTTGTAAAGTGGGGTAATAAATAGTGTTTTTTTGTTTTGTTTTTTTGGTTGAGCGATTATTCTGGGGGTTTTACGCCAGCGTTTTTTTTCGTATTGTAAGGCTACACATAACAGAGAAATAAGCCCCGGGGTTCAATATCAAGGGGGGGGGGGTCTTGTCCACACGTACCTGTGTTTTTCTAAAAATTAAGACAAGAAACATGTATTGACGTAAGCGTCAAAAATCGGCCGCAAACCAATTAATGTTCCTTTTATGAAGCAACTAAAGACTATGGTGGTCTGTTTTTAAAATATCTTATATTTATCTTTTAATATATATCCTCGTGATATTAAAAGCTTGTGCTCTACATTGCATGATTTTCTTAATTATATAATGCATGTTCAACTCTGCGTCAACAACTTTTGAACCGTGGGCCTGTATGGCATTTGCATTAAAAGTTTAAAACTAAAATTAAATGTAATCTACAACTAGATATGCAGTGTAGTTTAATTTAATAAAAATGCAGCAAATATGTTGGTATCCTTGCTCTCTCTTAGAGGAAAAAACTAAACTCCCTCTAGATCCGCCACTTCATTTCTTCTCTTTGAGTTGTAGCGGGAAAATTCTTGGCACATTGTAAAACGTGCATTATCCTCGTCTGCTAAGGGCCGAATCTTGTAATATTTTGTAGCCTGCTAAGTCTTTTAATGAATTTACATTTAACCATATTTTTCAAAATGTTTATATGTGTACATATGTACACGTCATTTTAAAATAAATACGTACAACAAATCCCGTTTGAATAGACAAAGTAAAATTGTGTAATATACATAACGCGGTCTTTGATTTAGACTACGCCCAACACATGTCTTAATTTTCTCCGCACTTCAAACATAACTAAATCTCTAAGTCAGTATTGGATGAATTATTTACCTCATTCTTCGTAAGAATTTTTAATTTTATGTTTATTGTGCGTTTTTCTTTAACCTTAAGACCGTCTTTTTAATATACTATTATATTAATGTTAAATATTTTTATTTAAATTGTTTTAACTCCGCAGAAACGCACATCGACTTCGAACTTTCATATCATATAACCGACCATCTCCTGGCGGCCGGTAATTTGTCATCAATACAAAAATATAATTATATACTCCTGATATATGTAATCTATTTAATATTTAAGAATCTATAATATAAATTGAAATATTCATTGCGGATCAAAAATCCATTAATTATTTAAATTTCCCTCTAATATATATAACACTTTTTCTTGCATTGTAATTTAATGAAATGACCCATTTGATATAATTATATTGAATTATTTCTTGATAGTAAAAACATAATAAAGGGGAGTAATCAAATGTTGAACCCGCGTTTGATTGGTTCGTTTGTATCTTGAATCTCGAAACTCGAATTTTGAATCTCGAATTTCGAATTTTGAATCTCGAATTTCGAATCTCGTATTTGGAAACTCGAATCTCGAATGAGCCTTCTGGGCTTTCGTAGTAAGAAGTTCAAATAGATATTTTTTTTTAATTTCTACAAGCAAATTTTGACATTTAAATGAACTATTTTTGTTTATTTGCATATTTTTATTTTTTTCAATACATCCTTGGTAAGTTAATTAGGCTAATTATATCAATGCTGCAAATCTACAAACAAGTTTAGAGTAAAGTTAAATCTATAGTGACTCAAAAGGATCAAAGTATTAATTATTGTTAAATATAGTAAACTATACATGTAGATAACTTTAGTATATTTTTGTTGGGGTATTTATTAGAATTCAATTTTTCTAGGTGGCGTGGGCTTTTTTACGGTAATATAATTTGATTTGAATGGTTTTTTTTAATGATTTATCATATTCAGAGGTAAAGTACACTAAGGGTTCATTAAGATGAACACTAATGCTATTTTTTTTTTAAATGAGTCAAATTTAAACATATTCATTAGAATACATTTTAACTTACTAGTACTTGTCTCTTCCTCTTCTGTACTGCCTATGTTGATATAAATTTGAACAATTATTTGTGGTGCAGACTCAAACGTTGTTTCAATCAAACCCAATAAAGATGCCAATCTAACCAGATCCCCTGTCTCTTCGTCTTCTTCTGGCCCCCTAGCTAGAACTATTGTCAGCCTGATAAAATAAAAAAATTAATTTGTCTACTACAAAAGATGATCATTACACTAAACCTCTTAACAATATCCATGTAAAACAATTTTAAGTGATAATTGCGCATTTTCTTATTTAAATAAAAGGAAGTGAATCTTTAAAAAACCGCTTACACAAATAGTTGAAGTAACGGTGAGAGGAAAATACAGAAGAGGAAAATCTTCATCTCCAAGGGATCTTTATTTTCTCTTGTGACCATTATCGTCGTTAATGCTAGCACATTTGCAAAAACTGGAAGTCCCGTGAATATTAGAGATAGAATGAAATTATCAATGCTGCTCTCACGCCAGTAAACGTATATAATATTGATGTCACTTGCAAGATCAACTAGAAAAAAAACAATTGTTATCAGTGTCCACGAAATATGCTTCGAACTGTCTTTCCAATTTTCAGCATATATGCAGTTAACTTTTCCCTTGAATTTCTTTGACCAATAAATGTACGCTACAATACAGGTGATAAAAGTTACCGCAGCGACGGACGAGAATGTTATAATCAAGTCAATGGTAATAAACTTGAGGATTGAAGGACCTGTAATGAAAAAACAAAACATTTTCAACATGAATACCCATTAAAAAATAAAACTTTTTTTGAAAATCTACATAGATGATATTTCATAGATTCCTTATTTACAAAATACTTGTTACCCAATATGAAGAAAAAAATGACGTTGTGCATGGTGTTGAATTACAACTTCCATAGAAAATGTAGAAATTAATCCATTCTGTTTTTTAAAAATCATATACATGTAGTTCGATATTTAAAGTCATTTCAAAATAGAACTAGATGCTGTCATGAGACAGTAATACCCGCACTAAGGTGTTTGCCTCTAAATACACACTCCTTCATATTGGGCTTTCCAAGGAAAAAGTCAAAATAATTCTATAACTAGATGCTGTCATGAGACAGTAATACCCGCACAATGGTGTTTGCCTCTAAATACACACTCCTTCATATTGGACTTTCCAAGGAAGAAGTCAAAATAATTCTATAATTATCACCGTACATGTATTCGTCAAATTGAACATAAAATTTTCAGGTGACCATCTATGAGCCTCATATATGTATTTTGAATACTTAATTCATTACCAGTCTGAAATAACAGAATTTAATTAATGATTGAAGTAAATTACTTAATTAGATTCAGATAAATATTTTGCCCATAATTTGGAACTTTTTAAATTTACTTTCTCAACGACATAAAATATTATTTTAGTACAATGCGTTTTTGATGAATTTATCAAAATATGCAAACTGATTTTAGTACTTGGTCAGGAAAAAAACCCATTGAAAATACAACCCAATTAATTTGTCAATGCCTATCTCTCTCTCTCTCTCTCTCTCTCTCCCCCACCCACACACACACACTCTCTCACTCTCACATTTTTTAAAAATAGACCTAGATGGCAAAGTTATGTTAAAACATAGTTTATTATGATAGTTTGAAATTTGTTCATGTACTAAACAGTTTTACGTGTGAACATCTTATTTTCTACATTCACATTGGGTTTGCGTCACCCATTATCATATTTATAGATATCACCTCTCGGCACACCTCGGCCGATTCATACTGGCAACGGAATCCGCAAAGGTTTGTCGAATGAGATTATTTAGCACATGTTTGCTGATGATGCAGTGTGGTCAGTTAAAATCATTTGTGTTTTAATTGGATTATATGGATTATATTTCATGAATTCGTTGTCACGACCTGACATTCGGTAAGTACAAGATTTAGTATAGATTGCATAAAAATAAATAAATGCAAATGGTTAGGCTGAAGTTCAAAAAGGGTCAAAGATCATCGCATGCCACAGTCGACAAATTTCACATTGTCAAGTTATCTCCCGTTGCGGACATTCAGTATATACAGGCGCAGATCCAGAATTTTTTTTTTTCAGAAAGGGGGGGTTCACACCTCAGTCAAAAAAATCAGCCCAAGATTTCCTGAGAAGCAAATGAAAAATAATAATAAAAACAATGATGGTGGAGTCCCTGTTTTCTAAGGGGGAGGATGTCCAAAGTCATTTTTATTCTCTACAGTACATAGTCTTATTTAAATAACTGCTAATTCCGGGGGTGGGGGGGGGTGTCTGATCTCCCTAGCCACTGACTCCCTGTACCTGAAATGACAATTGATCTTATGACTCCAAAATAGTAGAAAAATTTTTCATTTGACTATATATACATATTTTGTTTCCTATGTTTATGTATGTTTGTCTCTCCACAGAAACTTTAACCTTGCCCATAAGTTTTAAGTGGATTGAGCTATACACATGGCTTCAATATTTCATAGGTAAATTTCTTTTGGCAAAACCTTTTAATGGGTACCACCAATTTTGACCTCTTGATCTCTTGACCTTGGAGTTTGACCCACTTTTACAAGAAAAATACCTTAAACTTGGCCTACGTTTTGAACAGGTGGTGCTAGGACTTTCATGCTCTAACATGTGTAATCATTGTGAACTTTCAACAGGTATAATTATTTTTGACCTAGACCTTAGAGTTGAACCCAATTTAACTTTAACCTTGGCAATAACTTTTGAACAGGTGAGGAAGTTCTAGGGATTTCTCTCTTCTTTCACATGTTTATTCCTTGTGACAAGACTTTCCCTTTGATACCAACAATTTTGACCCTTTGACCTTGACCTTGGAGTTTGACTTACATTTGAGAAACTTCAACCTTTGCCAAAAGCTGCCATAACAGTTGCTGTCACAGCAAACAAACAAATTACTAAAAAAACACAGTATACATGTACATATTTTATATTCAACAGATATACATCTGGTCATATCTCTAGTTCTCCCTTGAATGAGACATGGTGATATAAATTTTAAAAAATAATCATGATAAGAGTTGAAAAGGTTGTGCATATTAAAATATACTAAGCTCTGCGGATGAATTAGATATACCAGTTTAGCTTTATTTTGCTACCCAAAGCACCTTGATTAACTATTTATAAGCATACTGTTTTCTGAAATGTACTGATTTCTGTTGTACATCTGTTTGTCTGCAAACTTTTCACATTAACTTCTTAAGAACCACTGGGCCAATTTCAACCAATTTACATTTAAATATGCAGGGGACTTTTTCCACCATAAATCTTCTTCTCAAGAACAGCAAAGACATTTATTGTCCCCCATTTTCGCTAAAGGTAGGGTACATTAAATCTCATTTGTTTTTCAATCTGCCCATCTGTCACAATAAATTTAACCTTGGTCATATGGTCATATATTTTGAATGAGAAGAGACAGGACTTTTATATTAAACATGCGTATTAGTATTAAATGGGACAATACCATTCTAAATACACTATGATTTTTATTACCCATGACCTTGAAGTTTGACCTAATTTCATAAAGAAATTAATTGCTTTAAATTGATCATTTTGAAAGATAAATGAAAGGGCATTCATATTACCTGTGATAAGACCTTTCCAAATGTATCATGACTTTTTGACTCTGTGACCTTAACCTTGAAGTTTAACTTAGTTTTCATTAATGTTGTATTTCCTTTTCATTGAGAAGAGATTCGACTTTCACATTTCAAGTGAACATTACCCAAAACAAGATGTTTCCCAACATGCTATGATTTTTTACCCCTTGACCTTGATGTTTTAAAAAAATGAGGATAAAGTATCAGTCACATTATCCAGCGATGGGATATACGATGAGAAACCGATGCGTTTTTTTGATGAAAATGGCGTGGTTGCCGGTCGGACACCACTAGTAATCGGACGGTGACTGAGGCCATTTTGCGAATCGGTGGGGTCATCGTTAGGAAATAATTCGTAGTTAAAATTCAGCGATGTCTCCAACGATGCCTCACATCGCTCCTCATCGGCAACTCATCATTAACAAATCTTTCAAGGATCGGCCGATGTATGGCCGAGCATCGTCCAATTCCCGTTCAATCTGAGGTCATCGGGGGGTTGAGTGGTGTTCAACAGATAACGGCCGATCATCGGTCGATGTTCGACCAAACATTAGCCTGTAGTCGACCGATGTACGAAAGATGTTCACCAATGTAAGAGCGATGTAATATACATCGGCCGATTATCCTGGAACATCGTTTTATGATTAGCGATGCATCGCTGGGCTTTTGTAAGTCCGGCCGGCAACCACGTCATTTTTATCATAAAACGCATCGGTTGCCCATCGTATACCCATGGCTGGATAATGTGACTGATACTTTAAGGACTACTTGGCCGAAGTGGACCGATGTTGGAGCATCGTTAACACCACAGATTACCACCGATTACCACCGGTCTACGGCTACCGGCCGGGAAATGTGACCTAGGCATTAGACCACTGTTTAAAACGAAAAGGGAGTTTAGGGAAGACTGGGCTTTTTCCATAAAAAACGTCATTTTTTGACCCTCATTTGACCCCCCGGGCAAAATCATAATTCCGAAACCTAACAGCACATCTACATGACCCCACCAACTATCTTCCAAAAGATGATTAGGCTGCTGAATAAAATGTAAGAGGAGTTCAGGGAAGATGGGGCTTTTAGCATAAAAAACGTCATTTTTCGACCCCCATTTGACCCCCTGGGGCAAACTCAAAATTCAGAAACCTTAATACACATCTGCATGACCCCACCAACCATCTCCCAAAAGATGATTAGGCTGCTGAGTAAAATGTAAGAGGAGTTCGGGGAAGACGGGGCTTTTTGCATTAAAAAAGTCATTTTCGACACCCATTTGACCCCCCAGGGCAAAATCAAAATTCTGAAACCTTACTGCACATCTACATGACACCACCAACCATCTCCCAAAAGATGATTAGGCCCCTGAGTAAAATGTAAGAGTTCAGGGAAGACGGGGATTTTTGCATAAAAAAACATCATTTTCGACCCCCATTTGACCCCCCGGGGCAAAATCAAAATTCCAAAACCTTACTGCACATCTACATGACCCCACCAACCATCTTCCAAAAGATGATTAGGCTGCTGAGTAAAATGTAATAGGAGTTCAGGGAAGACGGAGCTATTTGCTTAAAAAACATCATTTTTCGACCCCCATTTGACCCCCTGGGGCAAAATCAAAATTCAGAAACCTTAATACACATCTGCATGACCCCACCAACCATCTCCCAAAAGATGATTAGGCTGCTGAGTAAAATGTAAGAGGAGTTCAGGGAAGACGGGGATTTTTGCATAAAAAACATCATTTTTCGACCCCCATTTGACCCCCCGGGGCAAAATCAAAATTCCAAAACCTTACTGCACATCTACATTACCCCACCAACCATCTCCCAAAAGATGATTAAGCTACTGTGTAAAATGTAGGAGGAGTTCAGGGAAGAAAAGTGTGACAGACGGACGGACGGACGGACATGAGTAACAACAATATACCGGAACTTTCTTTAGAAACTGCGGGTATAATTATCACCGTACATGTATTCGTCTAATTGAGCATAAAATTTTCAGGTGACCATATGATCTATGAGCCTCATATATGTATTTTGTATACTTAATTCATTATCAGTCTGAAATAACAGAATTTAATTAATGAAGCCAATTACTTAATTAGATTCTGATAAATATTTTGCCCATAATTTGGAACCTTTTAAATTTACTTTCTCAACGACATAAAATATTATTTTAGTACAAAGCGTTTTTGATAAATTTATCAAAATTTGCAAACTGATTTTAGTACTTGGTCGGGAAAAAAAACCCATTGAAAGTACAACTTAATTAATTTATCAATGCCTATCCCCCCACACCATCACACACACACGCTCACGCTTTCTCTCTCTCTCTCTCTCTCTCACACATTTTTTAAAATAGACGTAGATGGAAAAGTTATGTTAAAACATCATTTATTATGATAGTTTGAAATTTGTTCTTGTACTAAACAGTTTTACGTGTGAACATCTTATTTTCTACATTCACACTGGGTTTGCGTCACATTATCATATTTTTAGATATCGCCACTCGGCACACCTCGGCCGATTCATACATATCTAATGAAGGAGACAAAATCGGCAAAGGTTTGCCGAATGAAATTATTTAGCACATGTATGCTGACGATGCAGTGTGGTCAGTTAAAATCATTTGTGTTTTAATTGGATTATATGGATTATATTTCATGAATTCGTTGTCTGGACCTATGACATTCGGTAAGTACAAGATTCAGTATAGATTGCATAAAAATAAATAAATGCAAATGGTTAGGTTGAAGTTCAAAAAGGGTCAAAGATCATCGCATGCCACAGTCGACAAATTTCACATTGTCAAGTTCTCTCCCATTGTGAACATTCAGTATATACAGGCGCAGATCCAGATTTTTTTCCGGAAAGGGGGGGGGGGTGTCACACCTCAGTCAAAAAAAAAATCCAGCCCAAGATTTCCTGAGAAGCAAATTAAAAATAATAATAAAAACAATGATGGCGGGGTCCCTGTTTTCTAAGGGGGGATGTCCAAAGTCATTTTTATTCTCTTCAGTAAATAGTCTTATTTAAATAACTGCAAATTCCAGGGGGGGGGAGGGTCTGATCTCCCTAGCCACTGAATCCCTGTACCTGAAATGACTCCATAATAGTAGAAAGTTTTTCCATTTGACTATATAATTATACATATTTTGTTTCCTGTGTTTATGTCTGTTTGTCTGTCCACAGAAACTTTAACCTTGCCAATAAGTTTTAAGTGGATTGGGCGATACACATGGCTTCCACATTTCATAGGCTAACTTCTTTTGGCAAAACCTTTTAGTGGGTACTGCCAATTTTGACCTTGGAGTTTGACCCACTTTTACAAGAAAAATACCTTAAACTTGGCCTTAGTTTAGAACAGGTGGTGCTAGGACTTTCTAACATGTGTAATCATTGTGAACTTTCAACAGGTATAAATATTTTTGAGCTTGACCCTAGAATTGAACCCAATTTAACTTTAACCTTGGCAATAACTTTTGAACAGGTGAGGAAGTACTAGGGATTTCTCTCTTATTTCACATGTGTATTCCTTGTGACAAGACCAACAATTTTGACCCTTTGACCTTGACCTTAACCCTGGAGTTTGACTTACATTTGAGAAACTTCAACCTTTGCCAAAAGCTGCCATAACAGTTGCTGTCACAACAAACAAACAAATTACTAAAAAAAAACACAGTATACAACAGATATACTTTTGGTCATATCTCTAGTTCTCCCTTGAATCAGACATGGTGATATAAATATTTTAAAAATCATTATTTTAAGAGTTGAAAAGGTTGTGCATATTGAAATATACTAAGCTCTGCGGATGAATTAGATATACCAGTTTAGCTTTATTCTGCTACCCATAGCACCTTGATTAACAATTTACAAGCATACTGTTTTCTGAAATGTACTGTTTTCTGTCGTCCATCTGTTTGTCTGCAAACTTTTCACATTCTTAATTTCTTAAGAACCACTAAGCCAATTTCAACCAATTTACATGTAAATATGCACGGGAATTTTTCCAACATAAATCTTCTCAAGAACAGCAAGGACATTTATTGTCCCCCATTTTCGCTAAAGGTAGGGGACATTAAATCTCATTTGTTTGTCAGTCTGTCCATCTGTCACAATAAATTTAACCTTGGTCATCATTAAAACAGTTTTAAATTGATCATTTTGAAAGAGAAATGAAAGGGCATTCATATTACCTGTGAACAGATCATGACTTTTTGACTCTGTGACCTTGACCTTGAAGTTTAACTTACTTTTCAATAATGTTGTATTTCCTTTTCATTGAGAAGAGATACAACTTTCACATTTCAAGTGTACATTACCCATAACAAGATGTTTCCCAACATGCTATGATTTTTACCCCTTGACATTGATGTTTTACCAAAATTTCAAAAGAGTGAACTCTCCCAAAAGAGGATTAGGCCACTGTGTAAACTGAAATAGGAGTTTAGGGAAGACGGGGCTTTTTGCATAAAAAACGTCATTTTTCGACCCCCATTTGACCCCCGGGGCAAAATCAAAATTCTGAAACCTTACTGCACATCTACTTGACCCCATCAACCATCTCCCAAAAGAGGATTAGGCCACTGTGTAAAATGAAATAGGAGTTTAGGGAAGACGGGGCTTTTTGCATAAAAAACGTCATTTTTCGACCCCCATTTGACCCCCGGGGCAAAATCAAAATTCTGAAACCTTACTGCACATCTACTTGACCCCATCAACCATCTCCCAAAAGAGGATAGGCCACTGTGTAAAATGTAGAAGGAGTTCAGGGAAGATGGGGCTTTTTGCATAAAAAACGTCATTTTTCGACCCCCATTTGACCCCCCGGGGCAAAATCTAAATTCCGAAACCTTACTACACATCTACATGACACCACCAACCATATCTAGATGATTAGGCTGCTAAATAAAATGTAAGAGGAGTTCAGGGAAGATGGGGCTTTTTGCATAAAAAACGTCATTTTTCGTCCCCCATTTGACCCCCGGGGGCAAAATCTAAATTCCGAAACCTTACTGCACATCTACATGACACCATCAACCATCTCTCAAAAGATGATTAGGCTGCTGAGTAAAATGTAGAAGGAGTTCAGGGAAGAAGGGGCTTTTAGCATAAAAAACGTCATTTTTCGACCCCCATTTGACCCCCCGGGGCAAAATCAAAATTCCGAAACCTTACTACACATCTACATGACACCATCAACCATATCTTAAAAGATGATTAGGCTGCTAAATAAAATGTAAAAGGAGTTCAGGGAAGATGGGGCTTTTTGCATAAAAAACGTCATTTTTCGTCCCCCATTTGACCCCCCGGGGCAAAATCTAAATTCCGAAACCTTACTGCACATCTACATGACACCACCAACCATCTCTCAAAAGATGATTAGGCTGCTGAGTAAAATGTAGAAGGAGTTCAGGGAAGAAGGGGCTTTTAGCATAAAAAACGTCATTTTTCGACCCCCATTTGACCCCCTGGGGCAAAATCAAAATTCCGAAACCTTACTGCACATCTACATGACACCAACCATCTCCCAAAAGATGATTAGGCTACTGTGTAAAATGTAGGAGGAGTTCAGGGAAGAAAAGTGTGACAGACGGACGGACGGACATGAGTAACAACAATATACCCGAACTTTCTTTAGAAAGTGCAGGTATTATAAATATATGTCACACATCTAATGGAGGCATTATGGAGCTTAATCTGTATATTGAGCATGATACCAAAAATACCAAAACATTATAGGTAAGCAACATGTACGTGCCTCACGTTCGTACTCAGTACCGACCGTACACAACCCAACACCAGAGCAAACCCGAAGAGGACCCCGGATTCGCTTCACGGGTTAGCTCAGGGTCAGCTTCGGGTTGGCTTTCAGAAATTTTGGGACCGCTCTGGTATGGAAGGGAATTACCGTCAAAAGTCTATGTATCTTGCTTTTATTCTTATTCTGCCTACTTCTTTATGCTTTGTTGTTATTGTAATTATATGTCACTTTATTGTTTTCATATTCGTTTTTATTACATTTCACTTCAAATGACTTTTATCCTTCTTCATTTTGTCTTTACTTCTATGTTGCTTTATTCTTGTAAATTCATTTTACTTTCTTTTAAATTGATACAGTTTCTTAAATGATTATAACTATTACGAACGTTAACTCAATCACGCAAACAATGAAGCATATTCAATGAAGACGAATACAAGTTGTCCGAATTTAGTGCCGCATTATAACGCTAGGTGGCAGGGGTGTTCGCTAAGAGTGTTGGTAAAATTAGGTAAGCAAACCCGTGCCGGGGTTATTCGAGATTTTTCAATTTTCTGCCTTAATACTTTATTAATCAAGCTTAAATTTTTTAAAGACTGATGTTTGTTATAAGTCCAGGTATGTACCCGATACATGCCATTCCCTCGGAAGTCTCGCTAGATGGTAAGATTTCCCCTGGAAGACTGACTACATAGTGATGCTTCCTTCGGAAGACTATACAGTGGGACTCCCCCGGAAAAGTTTCAATATATAGCTAGTCTTCCGTGGGAAATCTCGCTATATATAGCAATTCGCCCCCATTCCTAGCAACCCCTCCCCCGAATAGTTTTTTTTTTAAATCGTAAAACAATGTTTATATATACTAACGTTTTCAGTTTTTGAAGAAAATTTATCTTCTAGTATATAGGTCCCTGGTTCTATATGAATAAATATTTAAATAATATCATTTTAATATTGTTTTAATATTGTTTTATAATTAAATCATTTTAACCATTTAGTTAAACATAGATAATCTTCACGAGTACATATGGATAAGGACTCTTTCTCCCCCCTCCCCCCCCCCCTTGTTGCAGTCGCCCGCGTGGCACTGTGGTTACGGCGTCTGCTCTATACAGAGTCACGAAGTACAGTAGTAAGGAGTCGACCAGTACGTTGTGGGTTCCAATCCCACTATAGGATGTGGAGTTCGGTCCTTCGGATGAGATCTAGACCGTATTATCCAAGGTCCCGTGTCGCAGTAGGTGCTGGCACGAAAAAAGATCCCTCACTGCTCAATGGCTACAAGTGCCGAGTATATAGGACAAATTTGCAGCTCTCCACCGGCAAGAGGTGGTTTCTCCATTTGAGTGAAAAATTCTCGAAAAGGAAATTATACAATGTACAATCACCAAAGTCTCAATATATATACTGACTTCCGGGTGGACGACCTCCTATGGGGTAAGTTTCATCGGTAGAGGGGAGGGTGGCCACGAAACATTTTCCTAAACGTAACTTTTTACTACTGGAAAAGTTCAGCGAAAGGCTTGTTGCCCCCCATCCCTTATCCCTTACACTTTTTGTTGCAGTACTAATAGTCAATTTATATATTAAAAGTCATGTAATTAGTGGCATATGAGTAAAATTTATTACTGAAAAAAGTTGACGACCCCCCCCCCCCCCACTTCACCACCACCAAATAGAATTTTCGAGTTTTAAGATTTTTTTAGCTCTCCTGGTTGATGACAAACACGGTGCGTACTAAAGATATTTCTTTCTTTATTGAAAAGTGCAATTCTAATATAAAATATTAACGCAGAAAAAAGACCGGGGTGTTTCTAGTATGCCTGGGTGCATTTAGTCTGGTTCAGACTTCGCCTTCCATGCGCGGATCTAGAGGGGGGGGGTAGGACCCCCTGGAATTAACAAGGTTACTAAAACAAAGAAAAAAAGTTAAACCCCCCCCCCCCACACACACGAAATAGAATTTTGACGTTTGAGCGAGTTTAGGTTTTTTCTTCCTATTATGCTTGTCAAGAAATTTCTGGGATTGGATTTTTTTTTACTTGGTTGCCCCCCCCCCCCCTGGAAAAAATTCTGGATCCGCGCCTGCCTACCCATAACGCTCCTCACTCCTTTGCAAAGCCCTGTCCCTAGAATCACGCGCATCAGCAGTTACTATCTGTCGTGAAATAAAGTTCAGTTCAGTGGAAGGTTCTGAAAAACAACCCAATTTATAAGGGTTAACTAGTATCAAAATATTTAACATTTTTACAACAATTAAACTGTAATTCAAATATCCAACAAATAACTTTAGTAGAGTTATATTTTTCAGGCGAGAGAACAGTGACGTAGCATCGTTTTTGAAAGTGGGGAGGGGGCAACAAGAGAATAAATATTCAAGCTACCCTGCTGAAAACAACTTGACAAGCGCAAAAAAAACGCTAGGAAATTGTCCAAACTTGAAAATACATAGGCGTCGGAACCGGGGAGGGGGGGGGGCTTAGCCCCCACTTCTTTCCAAAGATAGACTTAGTATAGATATTGAACATTCCTGCGTGGGTTTAGCCCCCTCCCCCTTTCCATGGACACGATGCAGTAAAGGTTTAAAATGGGGAAAGTGGTGGTATTTGGAAAAAAAAAAAACTTTGGCACTGGAGTTCGAACCTTCAACCCACCCCCACCCCACCCCTTCTCACGAAATAGGATTTTTGTGTTTGGAAAATGGACATGTTTTTTTTTTTTTGCTTGTCAGGTTTTTTTTTTTTGAAGGTCTAAAAAAATTCTTACACTTACCCCCCCCCCCTCTAACTTTCAATTAGCTTCCGACGCCAATGAAATCCTATTTCGGGGGCGGGATGGGTTTTGAGTTAGATTCAAATTCTTCTATAGAATCAAATTTAAATTTTCTTCCTACTATACGTACTACATTTACTTATTTGACCCTTTTTCTTATAAAAAGTGGGTCGGCCTTTAACGAGGCTGGGGTGTGGCAGCCATTTTCAGACTATTTTGATCTCCTTTAAAAGAAGAGCTCCATATAAAGATCTTCAAAAATGATAAAATTTTAAAACTAAAATGTATGAATTTTTTCTTTGCCAAATGATAGTTGACAGATTAAATGATAGTTGACAGATTAAGATACCGTATCTAAAAAAATAAGTTAAATCTGGTGGTTGATTTATGGTTAATTTGTTGACCCCCCAGCCTCCTTAAATGAAGGTAGCTGAAAAAAAAGAAGCCGCTTTTCCTGTGTGCCCAGAGAAAATAAATATGGAGTTTCCATCATTGGATCGGGAGATCGGATCCGGCCTTCAGAAGTTCGATTAAGGCGTATTGAAGAATCTCAAATAACCCAACCTTTGCTTACCTAGTTTTACCAACTCTCGTAGCGAACACCACGCCACCTAGCGTTATAATGCCGCACTAAATTTTGACGGTTTGACAACTTCCATTCGTCTTCATTGAATATGCTTCATTGTTAGCGTGATTGAATTA